ATCAGGGCGCAACAACCCAGAAGACGGTCACCTTCTTTGTCTTTGTGCCTCTTGTCTGCGTGAATAAATTTGTTTCTTCCCCGTTAGAGGGCGTTGCAGTCCGACGCTTTCCCTCGGCTTTCTTTCATCTTTAAATAAATATCGAAATTATTTCAACTTCAGATTTTAATTTGTATTGTTTTGTTTCGTCACAGTTCTGAATCCAGGATTCATTGCCGTGATCTGTGTAGTTGAATATTTTTTTGTTCCGTGCTGTACAAATAATTTTAATTACAAACTGTCCCGTATTTCGTGAAACACTTCCTTTCCCAAGAACCTTTTTGTGTTCTTATTTTCAGTTAATTGATTTTTAATTGTTCTGGGATTCTTTCCAGCTTCAGTTCGTTCTGGTCGGCTTACACGCGTCTTCGAGTTTTCTTATCGAGGACTGCGATTACCCTCGAGCCGTCGGCTTTGCAGTTGTCGTGCAGAGTGCGTTTATGTCCGTGATGTTCTATGATTTTTATCAGAAAGCTTACGTAAAGAAGACTAAAAATTGTTAACGAGATTGTTCTTCGCCGTCGTTCATCTGTCAAGGAATAAAACTTGCCTTCGTGCCAGTTAGCAGTTAAACATGCGAACACCCCCTTCAGCCGACAAACGCGGTCGCCACCGACTCTGCCCACGTCGAGGTAAGGACAGCTGGTGTTCCTCTGTGTACCAACTTAATGTCCTGCTTCTGTGAAATTTTTTTTGTGGGGAGACTTCAGGATTCGCAAGTTTGTTAGGTTGTAATGTGGAGGTTGCAGGAACTGTCAACTGCTGAAGTTCTGTGCCTTCTCTATGACACATCGTCATATCAGGTCTACATGTTACGTTTATCGTTAAAGTGATTTTTCTATTACTGTATCTTGGAATTCTAAAATTAAATGTGTTTATGCATCATTTTGTCACATTGATCTTGCCCATTCCGGACAGAAAGTGTCTTAAAAATATTACACATTTCTGCAATGAAATGTCCTCTCACCACATTTTTTTGCGATGATCTAACGAGGCAGAAAATGTTAATTAATTGGAAACTGTGTAAGGAAGCGGTCGTGGCCCATTTTAAGACACCAGTACTGTATCGTTATTTGCCTAGTGGTACTGAGGAAAATCACGAACACTTTCAGTCAGAGCGACCGGTCTTCGGGGGTGAGATTTCAGCGGGAGTGCCCAGCGCCTGACAACGGCGTTCGATGAGCGTCGACGAGAAGCTGCCTGTTGCTCAGCACGTCTGCCTTTTATGCAAAAACAAGGCAGTTAGTGCCTTGTTACACAATTCCTGGATTCTCATTTGCAGTAAGACAGACAACGTGTTAGACTTGATTAATGGCGTGCGATGGTATTTGGGTCAGGCCTGACGGCGCTTCGTGAAGGACACATGAACATGATGTCCGCCTGACGTGAAGACAAGTCACGGGGCCTCCAGAATGAGTCTCCTCACCCTAATCCGCCTCCAAGATTCATTCCCAGATTGGTTCTCCCATCGTTTATATGGTCCACCTCTCGCTTTTAGTCTGTACTTGTAAGAGTTCAGCAAATATTCTTTCATCCAGTCTTTCCAATTCAATTTACCTTCAATTACTTTGTCCGTCGTGGGTCCTGTTTCATTTTCTGACTCCCTGTTCACCTGTAATTTCCTTACGAATCTCATTTCATTTGTTTTAATTCGGCTGTCTTGTACGAAACAGGTAGCAGCACTGAGCAACTACAGATTTATAATGTTTTAAAAGAGTTTCTGTTGTTTATGTTCACAATTTGGAATGCTCTGTTCTATGTAAAATGAAGCACTAAAATTACACTTTTCTTTTTTAATTGTTCACGGTCTGGTTTTATGTAATACGTATTTTGTGTTTTGTGCAAAATACAAAATTAATGCCCGATTTCTCTTGTTCATGTTCTCGCGTTTTGAAATGACGCACTGCTCTTTTCCGAAATAAAGAAATTCTCACAGTGAGTACTCAATAGTGTCCCAATCCAATTCTCTCTTTATCGTCTCCTTCTAGTTCCACTCCTTTCTTATTTACTGAGTGATGTTCGTAAACCCACGAACATCGACGTTTCCTTAAGCCTGTGCAATAAATGCTATGAATGTCATAGAGTTCAAACTTTATTGATTACTTCTGTGGTTAAAGATGTGAAAATCGCTAGTATCATTTCCCAGCCCATCCATTCCCTCGGGAAATAACACTCGCTCTTCTTGAAGACTCTCTCCTGTTTGCAGAAAACTTGGTTCCTTCTTGCCTATGCTCGTGGGTTGTAGCACCGTGTAGTTTGAAAGACATCGAATGTCGAGGTCGAGTGGTTGCTTCGTATTTGGGAGGTCCTGGGTTTAAATCTCCGCCCTCAAAACGGCTATCGCGACTGGTGGGTTTCATTGAAATAGGCCACGACCACTTCCTTTCCAATCCATTAATTATTATATCAATCCACGCTTTTTAATGTAAGCGTTTATAAGCACTTTCAAATAAACCATAAATATTATAGGAATCACTTAGTGTGAGTTCAGTACAGTGACAATGTAAGCTTCTTAGACGTCGTTTGTAAATTTGAAATTAAATACAAGATGGCGTCCTATCCGAGTGTTGCTTAATTTGTGATGTGGACACGAAATTGCTCGTGGCCTTAAAAATGTTCGTATTCTGCTCCGGTTTCGATGTCCCGTAGAGCAAGAGATTTCTTGGGTGTAAGTGAAATTGCTGAAATGACGTTGTTTCTTTCAGTACTCTTTCAACTTTTCATCAATTACCCTGAAAATAATTCCTATAATTGCCTAGTCACTCAACGATATGTATGACCTCGCTTTAAATTTATCAGGCGTTGAAACGACGTGGCCGGCAACAAGGTGGGGGCATATGACGACGATTATGCTGTCTGCGTGACTGGCCCTATTGTCTTCAGATAGCGGCGTAGCTGTCCGGAGGTACTGCAATGCTCGCTACGAAATGTTATTGACGGGAGTTGTGTAGTTTTCTGTTAGATTTCAGGTTCACACGGCGGCGAGTATGAAGATGGCTGTGTCCTGCAGACAGGCAGAGGCTTGCTGCCGCCATCATCTGCTGCTTATTTATCGCCCTGATGACGTAGACAGCATTTCTATGTCAAGATCTTCTGTTGACTAGGATAGTAAATATTTCGGTGCTCCGAGCACGAGGTGTCTGGTTTCGCGTTGATTGACTCGTCGTGATGTATGTGTGTGTTCCTGTTAAACGTTTCTGATCTAAATTCCACGGGGCTGTAGGAGATCTGGAAGCTGAGACGATAACATTGTACTGCCTTTGGAGCGATGTAAAACGGGTTTTCTTCTGTTACAGGAAACAAATTGTCATCATGTTCTTAGTTCCCGAAGCGTTCGCCAAATTCTATCATGACAGGGCAGGTAAGTCTTAAAAGTTATCGCACCAGACGTGTGTGGGTCTGTTTGGCTATAAAATGTAAGAACGGCTTTTTCTAAGTCATCGCAACTTCATCTCATGATTTTCTTCTCTGCCCACGTAAAAAGAATTTACCGCGTTATTACATACCGGGTCTTCAATTTATACTGTAACGGCGTTGCTCGCATTGCGTGCTCGGCCGGCGCACTGTTGACGTCGGCAGGACTAGTGCGTGTTCTTCCCGTGAATCACCGGCGAATCAGTTTCATTGCGTCTCTCGTCGCGGATTGACGTTGATAATATGGTGTATAGTATTAAGCAACGTGTGTTCTTAGTCGAAACATATGCCAAATATTCATCCTACGGAAGATGCCGCCATAAATATCGCAGACATTTTCCTGGTGTAAGTGTTCCTAGCAGGCCCATGATAGAGAGATTAGTAAAAAAAATTCGTAGTACGGGATCAGTTTTGGATAAAAAGAACAGGAAACGGAGTGTATTGACGGAAGTGAAATTGGAGAAATCCTCACACTGCAGAAGAACTTAAAGAAAATATTCGACAATTGATTTCGGCAATTACCCCAGAAGAGCTTCGTCGAGTATTTATAAATATGTTAACGAGATGTGAAGATTGCCTGCAAGCACAAGGAAGTCACTTTGAACATCTTTTGTGATTTAAGGTAAGAACAATTAATGTAATAACATATATTATTGATGAGAAATATTCGTAGTTCGCTGTTACTAGTGGCACTGAAACTGATTCGCCTGTGACTCACGGGAAGAACGCGCTATCTCTATCCCACACCAACAGAGCACTCGGCCCAGCACGCAACGCAAGCCACACCCCGAAAGACACAAATTGAAGACCCGGTATATTAAAATTAGATAAAATTGCCCCTGTGTTTAATTAACTATCGCTCCATTTGGGGATCTCGGGAGTAGAGGTAGTGGTCCACGCTTTCTTGACCTCAGCACTGGATGTAAATAAGCTTCAAGCCCCGGCCGTTTCACCCCTTGGAAAAGAGTCCTCGTTATCGCTTGTATAGGACACCGGTGGGCCGAAGAGTTAGTCAGGCAGACTTTACCGATGTCTAGACGTGTTGCGATGAGTACTCATTGCACCTCTGAAACGTCGGTAAGCTTATATTCGACTACACGGAAGCACCCATCTTCATGCTTGCCGCCGTGAAAACTTAAAATCTATCTTGCCGGGAATCGATCCTCGTAACCTTGTTAGCAAACTGAGCAGTCCGTGTGATTCGTCAGAGATATTTGAAACAAATGTCATTGCTAAGTCTTGATGCCTTTGGGCAGCTCAAAACGACTTCGGTCATGTTTAATGGAATTGAGTAAACTTGTTTCACTGGGCCCTGAACCCAAGCCGTCCAACTTGCATCACATGCTTACAATCTATTTATCTAAATTTAATTTTAATATTATTCTCCAGTTGCTTCCTACATACATTTGTGCTGCTTGTCTTTGAACTTAAATAACGTTTATATCTTAATTGCGTCATGTTTGTGTTTTATTGATACAATATTTTTATTTTCCGTCTATTTTAAGTTTGTGTATAGACGGAAAATAAAAATATTGTATTAAATAACGTGTGAAAATGTATAAATAATTCCTACTCATTGACAATGATGTATTCGTAATGATTCTCAACATTATTTCTTTCTTATTTGAATGGTGCTGAATATTGTTAAGAAGTCCCAGCATATTGTATTGTAGTGAATTCACATACTTAACATACTAAGGCGTTCTTTACAGCGTGCATCTGAAGGTACTGAGTCCGCCTTGGTCGATAGTTCCGAACTTGGCCCCCAGATCGCAGCAGCTCAAATGTTCACCTCACGACTTACCTCGTCCGTAATTTTTGTTATCGCCTCTCGTGGGATATTCAAAAGTACTATTTAGATGTCCTGCAGAACGGCAACCTCCACATTAAATTTCATCCAAACCTGTCCAATGGTTCTCGGGTTGAATCTACTGGACGGGCGGACACGACGAGGCCATTTTGCATTCTCCCGATGCACTTACTGCAAGGTGCGCATAATAATTTTCAAAACATACTCATAATTGTACCAAGGAAATTTTCTTCCGAAAGAGGGGTATTTCAGTCTCAAAATGAGACACGTCGTCAATGATTGAAGCTCAGTGGCCAATCGTAATTCCTGTTCATCTCAAATTATTACAAAAGGTTCAGGTGGGGATTGAACGCGAACGATACGTTAGTGACGTGTAATGTCCTCCGACTATAGTACAGTTAATGTTGCGATGGACTGGGCACGTAGCTTAATTAAAACAAATATCAAACGCCCTGTATCAACTTTGAAAGCTATCACATAATAAATGTAGGCAGTTAGAACGGTATAGTCTAAATATCAGTGTTATTGAAAAACTTGCATAGCGGTGAGATGTCAGTGTTGGTCTTCAGGGTTTTAGCGCTGTGTGGACGTGATGTTTGATATCTAGGTTTCGCATGAATATACTGCATCTGTCTTTAGTGTTTTAGACGCAAGATTGATCGAAGCTATTCGCTTCATATCCCGGTCTCCTTTAACTTCCGAAACAACTCGAAACGAGTAGTTTGGTGCTAGTTCTCACTCGACGCATCTGAGTCCTGGCTCTGCGGGCCGTAGCGAATAGTAAAATGTCGTGCTTCCCCTCGTTGCAGACCGTAGCGAACAGTAAAATGTCGCGCTTCCCCTCGTTGAAGACCGTAGCGAGCAGTAAAATGTCGTGCTTCCCCTCGTTGCAGACCGTAGCGAACAGTAAAATGTCGTGCTTCCCCTCGTTGCAGGCCGTAGCGAACAGTAAAATGTCGTGCTTCCCCTCGTTGCAGACCACAGGAGTGACGACTGGTTCCTCATGGGCTCGCCCTGGCCTGTGCTCTGCATCGCCGCTTCCTATGTGTACTTCGTGACGAACCTGGGACCCCGATTCATGAAGAACAGGAGTGCCTTTCACGTGGACCCCATCGTCCGAGTCTACAACTTGCTGCAGATATTTCTGTGTCTCTGTTTGTTCATAGTCGTAAGTAAAAATTATTAGTAGTAGTTTTATAATAATGATGATATTTCCTTAAACAGCGTTAACCAGTTGATCTTTGTAATGGTGAAGCGTTGTGTTTTCTGTGCGGTACGGACTGATTTATTAAATACTAGCACAGCGAAATTAGACAAATGTTTACATTTCTTATTAATCTCTCGTCCGGAAGCTTGTCATAGACATGATCGTTGGGCAGGCATTTTTAAATGCGATAGGAAATGGGTGCATTTTATAGGATTTTGCGGTCTTAAGGTTTCTTTATCATAATTATATATTGTGACGATGAAACACAACGCACTGAAGCAGTTATTCGTTTCAATTGACTGGCATTTGTTCCTATGCACGGTGAAGTTAAGTAAAGTAAGGTTATATTAACTTATCAAGCTTTTAGAGTGACGCGTACTCAAGTGGTGTTTGTACTGAGTATTCGACCTTGTTACAAAACTGTACATTTTTATTTCCAGGGTCTTAACGTGGTCTGCGGAAGGACGTTTCGCTTTATCTGCCAACCAGTTGATTACTCAAACACGCCACATGCGATTCGTGTAAGTATGCAAGGCATTTTTATGCTTACCTGATCAGAAGTAAAAGTTAAGGGTGTTATTGGCAACTTAATTTGAAAGCCAGCCACAAACTTAGTGGTGTATGAAATAACTGGTCAAAGTTGCCAGAGAGATTATGCCTAAACATCTGTTTTGTTGCTGGAGTAACTCGTCGTATTACACCCTCGACTCGAGATTCATGGCCCCAGAGAAACGAGACACAACACTAGGAAAGAGACGCAGAGTATCGCGACGCGAACTCAGAGCACCAAACCAATCAAAGAAACGCCTTTGGCGGCGATCCGACACGACGCCGAGCGTGAGAAGACTCAAAATTGAAAATCTCGCCAATAAAAGCCACGTGACGGCACAAGACGCGACGCTGGAAAGCCGACGACGAGCGTAGCGACGATAACTCACAATGCCGAGGCGTGGTTAATGGTTAGCATGCCTGAGCTAACCGAACCTCGTAAACTAACCTAACGTAACCCAACCGTTCCTTACCTTACGGGACCCTATCCGACCTAACCTGACCTGACGTGACGCTAGATCAACTAGACAAACCCGTCTCGAAGCCGCTGTAAAACCTCGATCGCCTTAGTCGCCGTAGTGGCTCCCTGCACTAGCAAT